CACTTTTTACCTATTATTAAAAATATTGATTATAATTAATAATTTTTATATGCGATTTTATATGCGAATTTATATATATATAATATGATTAATTCTGTTTTATATATAATATCAGAATTAATCAACAATAGAATCTTATTTTAGACCGTACAGAGAACATAATCAATAAACTAGAAGCTTAAATCTGGACAAAGCTGGATCTTTAACGTTCTTAAATAATTTCTATATAAATTAATATATTAAATATGTAATTATTCGAATATGTAGTTATTGCGCGCCGAAATGAATTTTCGGACTTATAAATGCAATCAAACTACTATAGTAATATCACAAATTAAATTGATAAGCAATTTAATAATTTGATGCTCAATCTGGCATCTTTTTAGAAAGATGTTAATATACTGAAAAACTGAAAATAAATATATTGGACTGGTATAAGCTTCTAGAAATAATTAAAATATAATTAATTCTGATACAAAACAGATATTTCTTTTTATTGCTAAAATTTAAAAAGAACATAAATGATTATTTTTTTATTATTATGTATTAACTGCAAAATTTTAATAAACATATATCATTTCAGGTATGGAAGAAAAGTTACGCTTTCTATTCGATATGTAATATTAGCGTCGTTAGCTGTCAGTACAATAATAATTATTTTTGCTGGTTGCACTTTTCTTAGCGTAAGTATAATTACTTATTTTAAAAAATAAATATAAGAATTATACTTACTAAATCCTTCAGTTTTTGTTATAAAAATTATGTAAAATCCTGTTGTAATACTTTTATTTTCTTATCATTTATGCAAGTTTATCTATAAAGGTGTTTAACTAATTTAAAGAACATTTCAGCATCGTTCGACAAAGCATAACATCCCGTGTAGAAAATTGTTAGGGATAGCCCTATGTAACATGAGGCACTGATCATTATTTATCAGGGATACCATAAGAAAGATTTCCTTCCTTTAACCTAATAAGATCCCGATCATAATTTATTAGGGATGTCGTAAGTAAGGCTTTCTCATTTATATCTGATAAGGTCCTCATCAGGATTTGATAGGGATGCATCAACTTTATAAATACTTTATTAGAACTTTTTTATTAGAACTAGAATTTATTTATTAGAACTAACTTATAAGGGCCTGGAAAGGATTTATTAGAGATGCCAAGCGAAATATATAGAATATATGTGCTATATACTCTATGACAGATTACCTAATCTATAGACAGTTGTTAATTCTAAGTTAAGTTAAATATCTCGCAAGGTACAGCGATCTTTTTTTCTACCAGATTCTTTCATTTTGTATAAAAACGCATCTACTGAACATAATTTTGATTATTAGCGTTGAGAATAATAAATTAATTTATAATTATCTAATTAATTTTGCTCACAATCAGTTGCTTAGAAATGGTAGTAGTAGTACATATATTATACTAGTGTAATATAATACGTTTATCGGCTTTACAAAAAGTATACAGCCATCTTACAGAGCCTCATTGAATCATAGTATCACAGAATTTAATATTAGGTTAAGTAAAAAGTCATCGCATTTTTTTAAAAGACATCTATCAGTAAAAACCGCAATTACTTTCTTACCAACAATATAAATATATCTTAATAGAGTAAAGTTTCAGCTTTAAAAATCTCTTTTTTAAATTATACGATACGACAATTTTTAATGGAATTATGAGCAATTAAAGTCAAAATAATTCTTTTATTTAATCCGCGATAACTCAGTAATCAAAAGTCGTAGGAATATTTAAAAAAAACGATTTTGTAGGGAAAGTATCAAGCTTTCACGATAGGTAATCGAAAATTTTCTCAAATTCGTTTTGGACACGTTACAAATCCACAAAGTGAGAAGAAAATTTTTCGTCTTTTTCAGCTCGTAGTTTTTGGTATGTAAAAATTATCAAACTCATATAAACTTAAAAAATGTGATAAGCTTTTAAAAGTAGAGATTTCAAGCTTTAAAACCCTTTTTTTAAATTTGAATTTCATTCATTATTGACGAAGATATTGTATATACAACTTTGAGCTAAAAAATACGCGATGACTTTTTACTTAACCTAATATCTTACGTAGATGTCGCTATTCGTACATAAAATTCATATACGAATAGGCTAAATTATAATTTCTTTTCGTGTAACTCTTAGAAATCAAACTAATTTACGCTTAAACTTATACATAATTGTAACGAGTATTAAATCCTTCTTGTACATGGAGTTTTACTAACTATTACTAACTAGTAGTTAAAAACAACTGCTTAAATATTACACTGGAA